GAAATCCTATGACAGACAGTTATGTGTCGATTTTATCAATTAATCATAAAATTCCCACCCAAAGTATTAGATAAACGATAGTACAACTAGAGAGACGCTGTATAACGGGAAAACAAGTTACATAAGACATAAATGAAAAACCCGTGTCTGCCATCGGTCAGGCCACACCCAGTTCTTACCAACAGCGCGGCAGCACCACCTAAGGCCAGCTTCACAAGTACTGTATAATGCAACAAAATGTATTTATTTCCCTCGTTTGTGCCGTACCTTAGGTTTGGCAGGGTATAATAGGGTATATTTTCTTAACTTATGGTACAAACCATGCCCACAGGTAAGGTCGTGGTAGTTGGGGACAGCCAGGTGAGGTTTTTAGATAGGATTTTTTGTGCGAGAGACAGGAAACGTAGGACTAGGGTGTGTTTTCCTGGGGTTGGGATAGGGCATGTAGCTGAGAGGTTAGACAGGGTTTTGTCAGGGGAGGGTACCAATCCAGTAGTGTGTCTTAGTGTGGGAGGAAACGACATAGGAAAGGTTAGGAGTGAAGAACTTTTCAAGAGGTATAGGGAGGCGCTGGGGAAGATTAGAGATAGGGGAGGGATCCCGATAGTATGTGGTGTCTTGCCTAAAAGAGGGGTTGGTCGTGAATGGCTGTCCAGGGCAATTGCTATAAATTGCCGACTGGAAAAACATTGGCCAAACAATGGTTGGGCATTCATTGATAACTGGCAACGACTACCTGTACAGTTGCGACGGAGTACACTTGTCTCGTGAGGGGGTAAAGACGTTGTCTGCATCCCTGGAACGTGAAATTGTCACTCCAAAGGGGGGAGGGGGGTTTCGCCAGTAGAGAGAGGTCGGGGAAAGTGGGAGTAAAAAAACGAGCAGGTCCTGGGAAGTAAAATTAGTTACTCAGGACAAGGGGTAAAACAGGACCAGGGAAGGGTAGGTTTAAATGTATACTATACAAACAGTAGGAGCGTTAGAAATAAAATAGACTTGCTGAGAGCGGTTGTATGTACCGAGAATGAAGACGTCATAGCAATCACCGAACTTGGATGAATCTGGCGAGCAAAATTTTTTTTATCAGAGTACCACATAGAAGGGTACAACCTTTTTCACAAGGACAGGGAAGGTAGGAAGGGGGGAGTCTGTATGGGTAAAAATCACGGAAGGAAGAGAAAAACTAATTATAGGAGTGATTTACAGGTTTCCAAGTCTTGGGAAAGAAGCAGCTCAGCCTATATGGCAGGAAATGAGTAGGGCAGCAAAATATAACAACCTGTGCATTATGGGGGATTTCAACTTCAGAAATATTGACTGGGACAACACTTTAGGTGACTATGAATCTGAAGACTTCCTATATGCAGTACAGGACAATTTTTTGAAACAACTAATTACAGAACCTACTAGAGGTGACAATATATTAGACCTAGTATTAACAAATAAAGAAAATATTTTCAGAGATATCACAGTAGGGGAAGAACTAGGTAACAGTGATCACAGAGAAATCAGGTTCACCCTAAATTGGGAAACGAAAAACAATGACAATATGGTCAGAGTCCCAAACTTTCGGTTGGCGGATTATCAGGGGTTAAGAAGGTATCGAGGTGAGGTCACCTGGGAACAGTCACGTCAGTCCCCAGTAGGAAGGGGTGAGGTCATAGATGACAACAATTGATCATGACTAATATATTCACTAGTATACTACATAAAGCACAAGAACAAAATATACCATACAGAAAAATTAGGTCAAATAAGAATGAGCCAAGGTGGATGACCAGAAAACTTAAACATGACATAGGAATAAAGAAAGGAATATATAAAGAATTAAAGGGAGGGGAGGAGCAGCTCAGAAATAGGTATAATGAACTATCTAGGAATGTTAAGAAAAATGTAAGGAAAGCAAAGAGAAACTATGAAATCAAAATAGCAAGAGAATCCAAGGCAAATCCCAAGGGATTTTTCCAGGTATATAGGACAAAGGTTAAGGACAAGGTTGGGCCTTTAAAGCCAGGGAGGGGAGAAGTGATAAATGGCAGTGAAGAAATAAGCAGCATTGAACAGCTACTTATCAGTTTTCACAGAAGAAATTTGCGATGAAATTCCAAAGGTGGAACTGATATTTAAGGGAACGGAAGAAGAGAAAATAAAGAATATCACTATCAGAAAAGAGGATGTTCTTAAGAAGATAGATAAACTAAAGAAAACAAAATCCCCAGGGCCGGATGAAATTTTCCCTCGAGTCTTGAAAGAGTGTAGGGAACAGATTAGCGGACCCCTCGTATTATTTACAAAATCATTAGACACTGGAAGACTTGTGGAAACAGGCAAATGTAGTACCCATATTCAAAAAGGGAGACAGAGCATCAGCATCAAATTACCAGCCGATCAGTTTGACGTCAGTAGTGGGGAAATTTCTTGACTATCGCATCTACAAAGAGGACAAAGGGAAAATCTTGTCTAACAAATCTGCTGACGTTTTTTAGGAAAGTCTTCGAGGTAGTAGATAATGACGAAAATTACGAAGTTATTTACGTAGATTTTAGCAAAACATTTGACAGTATTGCATCAGAGGCTTCTGAGAAAAATTAAGGCTCATGGTATCGAGGGGAAAGTTTTAAATTGGATAAAATCATGGCTCACCGATAGAACGCAGAGGGTCAGCGTAGATGGTGTTAAATCTGAGTGGGGCCTTGTAACCAGTGGGTTTCCCCAGGGGTCAGTACTAGGCCCACTCTTGTTCATAATCTACATAAACGATCTAGATACTGGGATCAGCAGTAACATAAGCAAGATTGCGGATGACACCAAAATAGGGCGGCAGATTAATTCAGGGCAGGATGCAAATGCATTACAGGAGGATCTAAATAAACTGCAGGGGTGATCTGAAAAATGGCAAATGAAATTCAACACCAGCAAGTGCAGCGTACTTAATATTGGAATAACAAATACTGATAATGTATACAGCCTTAGCAACATCAACCTAGAGAAGTCGACTTGTGAAAGAGACCTAGGGGTACTTGCAAGCCCGGACCTACGGCCTAGAAAACAGTGCGTTAATGTTCGACCTAAAGCAAAGCAGAGTGACACCAAAATAGGGCGGCAGATTAATTCAGGGCAGGATGCAAATGCATTACAGGAGGATCTAAATAAACTGCAGATCTGAAAAATGGCAAATGAAATTCAACACCAGCAAGTGCAGCGTACTTAATATTGGAATAACAAATACTGATAATGTATACAGCCTTAGCAACATCAACCTAGAGAAGTCGACTTGTGAAAGAGACCTAGGGGTACTTGCAAGCCCGGACCTACGGCCTAGAAAACAGTGCGTTAATGTTCGACCTAAAGCAAACAGAGTATTGGGTTTTATATCTAGAAGTGTAAGTAACAAGAGTGCAGAGGTCTTATTGCAACTATATCTTGCGCTCGTCAGGCCGCACCTGGATTATGCGGTTCAGTTCTGGTGCCCCTATTATAGAATGGATATAAATTCACTAGAGTCGGTGCAGCAAAGAATGACATAAATGATTCCGGGACTTAGAAACTTTCCATATCAGGATAGGTTAAAGAAACTTAACTTGCATTCCCTAGAAAGACGAAGAGTGCAGGGAGATATGATATTAGGATTTAAGTGGGTGAAAGGAATCACTAAAGGGGATATAGATAAAGTTCTTATAATATCCGAGCAGGATAGGACTCGGAGCAACGGATTCAAGTTGGATAAGTTTAGGTTTAGGAGGGAGATAGGAAGAAACTGGTTCACAAATAGGGTGGTGGACGAGTGGAACAAGCTTAGCAACTTTGTAGTAAGTGCGGGAACTCTGGAAAGTTTCAAAAGGAGGCTAGATAGATTCATGGATGATAGAGTGTGGTAGTAACTCTCGACAGGAGCTGCCATGCACAGGCCAACCGGCCTATTGCAGACTCCTTATTTTCTTATGTTTCTTATATATTTGTGCACACCAAGGTTTTACTTTTGGTATTAACTGGGTACAAAAAGCATGTCTAAAATGCGGCAACAGTTTTGTCTATAAATTAAGATTATCTACAAATGGGACTTTTTTGTGTTTTTATTTTTAAAGATGGAGTTTGTCCATATGCTTTACTTTTCGGTTTTACTGCGACAGAGTTCATAGCTTCACTCTCCACAAATTTACTAACCATCTCGATATAAAAAGTTTTACTTTTAATAATACTTAAGTAGTGTGTTTAAGAATTAACTCTGTTGTTGGTGGCCTTGTCATAAAGAATTCAGTTACTATTGAAGGAACCCACACGAAAAACCATTATTGCACTTACCTATGCGTTGCCTGGGTACAAGTTACATACATATTCCAGTTTCAAGTACCCAGGATGTAACTAGTCCGTTTCAGTCTTCCAGAAAAAAGAGTATTTATCTTGCTAAGTATTTTTCAAGGATTGTCAGAAAAGATTAAGAATTCTAGAAAACAATACGATAAAGTTTATTAAGTACTCTGTTAAGCCGAGAGATCTCGTACATAACCAGAGAAGTACAGTGTAATGTTGCGATTGGCGTCTTCACTGGAGAAACTACGAATGGGATGGTGGTAAATATTCAATCCACTGAGGTGACGGACGAGATGCGAAAAATCAATTACTACAAGTTATATCTAAGGCACACGTGATACACTTCAATACTGAAGATTCCAACTTAAAATCATAAAATGTTACGAGATGTCTGAAACACACTACGATGATCTACAGTATGTTAACGCATGACTTCAGATACTACCTCATTCCTTGTGTGACAATCAACTTAATGAGCGAATTCCTTTCTCAGTTTACTTCCCGTGGCAGATATCACATAAACTTCGGTGATGCGCTCTTGTATGAATAATGGACATATAGAATGGTAGATATACAAAGTTAAATAGATGGGTAAAATTTTAAATGTCCTGGTTAGTAAATATATACAAAATGGAAATCAAGCACAAGTGGGTGAAAAGTGAAGAGATGAGTAAAGAAAATACTAGTACCTTAGTTTACAGTGATAAACGGTGTAGGCTCCACGCCAGCCCGTGTGGTGGCCGGTGGGCGCGTGGGCGGTCGCTGGGGCGGTAACTGTGTAGTGGCTTAGGAACAATCCACCACCTTACAATGCGTCACAACACACCCTAAAATTAACACAAAATAAAACTACACAAAATGCCTCGCACCACGCGCGGGGACGCCTCACACGTTAAATATCCTCATATATGAGAAAATTGGCAGTGGAAGAGTGGCGGTCACGCCACCAAGAAGGACGGTATCTGCACACCTTCCACTACGTCTGACTCAACACTGGCTGCTGGCCGGGCTGGCCCCCTAGTCCCAACCATGGACAGCCGTCACAAGCACCGCCGCCCGTTGCCAACGCTACCGCTACGGTCACCACCAAGCCGCCACTGTCAAATTCCGACAACAATGTCCTACTGTTACAATCATATCTAACTCATTACTTATATCTCACACTACACTAACTACTTCTAATCTTGTTACTCTGTACATATATATAGTAAATCAAGGGGAAATGCGTAAAACTAAATCCATTGAGCGGGACCCGGCGGTCTCTAGCAATGATCCCCCAGCTTGGCAAAGCGACTGACTGAACTGCCCCGCCCTAAAGAAAAGTACTCTCTTGCCAAAATGAAATATTTTAAGTTTAAATACTATCATCTCTCTAAAAATTGGCTACCTCAAGAGATAACAGAAACATCAGTAATGGCTGACAATTCATATATTTTGCGAAAATAAGTAAAATGTTTCGGCCCTACGTCTGGCGCGCCAGCAGTGAGTGGCGATGTTGAGTCGAGCTTCTCTTACAGCTCCAGGACACGACGCGCTAAACTCAAATCCAGTTAACTATTACCACCCACTTTATGCGAGTGCTATGATTGTTATTTAGATGCGGTTAAGTTTAACGCCATAAACAACCTCTCTAGTATGAAAGTCATATACTGTACTTCTACATAAAAATCAAGTACTGTAACATATTCTAAATTGCAGATTTTCAAACAAGAGAATACACGTATGATTACTCCAATAGTCATTTAATGTATACTTATCCTTTAAACATGAGACAGGTTAATAAAAAATCTTCAGTGGATTCTGTGTAATGAGGGCAATAGAAACTGGATACATGGAGACGAATCATATAAGTAGTCCCCCACCTGTAAAACTGGAAGGGGGACTACAAAGGAGGAAAGCAGGAAAGAAAAGAAAAACAGAAAAAGGTTCAGAGAATACAATATAGATATTCTATATAATCCCATGGTAAGTATTGTTAATGGTTCATCACAGCTTCGTGTTACATCAAAACCTTCCTAGAATACTGTATGTGCCTCGTTATCAAAACACAATTTGGCCTGTAATTTGAAATTGGTTACATTCACACAAAACAATACGTGTCACTCAGCGGAAGATTAAATCGGAGACAAATGCCCTACTTAAGACAAATGTACTGTATTTAATCGGTGGTAAAGTGAGAGTGCACTTGCCACAACCACTATGACTCAGGTTCGATACCCGCTTGGGTTGGATGTGAGAAAGGTGTTGTGCAGTTTAACCTTACTGAACATCACAGGTTTTCTCCAGACATTCTGATTTCTTCCAGTGCTAATACTGAACCTATGTTAGATGTCCCTTACTGAATCTCAATTGATACCATTCAAACAGAGAACTATCCAGTACTGTATAAATATATTAATTATGGACTGATCCTGAAATCTAATTCTATAGCACAGCTTGATCAGGAGACTCAAATGTAATTACAAGAGTCTACGTTTTGAAACCCCATGGTTCATGGGTCCTCCGATATTTATGAAAAACTAATTTGAAATTAACTGTCCTTCCGTGTCAATCCCAGCCCTTTGACAATATACGCCTGTCTATGAAGTACTGTACTACTGTACTGTATTTCTTCCAGCGTAAGCTGTATAACAATTATTAAACAATACTGTACATAATCATAAATACAACAGAATAAAATATTTCACATTTCTTCTATAGTAAAATAGAGGTCACAGCTGGCAAAAATCAGCACAAAATCCACAGAACAATTACAATAGTCAATTCCAAACCATAACACTGTACAGTATAGTGCTAAATTACAAGCATTAATTACAAAATGCTTCACTTTTTTTAAACAATAAAATATCATACCTGAATCACATACCATTAGTATTTTTCTTACTTTTTAATGAACACATCTCCTTCCCCTTCTAAAATTTGTTCGCTCAGCTCCTACCATTTTCTCACACCCATAATCTTAAAACCATCTTCCTGATTAAACAGGCCACTCTTCTGATACTTTTACCATCTTCTAGATTAGTCTCTTGTGACGGGTAGGTCCTAAGATAAGTGAGGTATAAGTATCCTCAACCCACTATAGCTAAATTATAACTTTCCTATAATCTCATATTCTTCTGGTAAGGAAAGAGATTGGATTCCCTCCCTAACTGAACTTCATTTCTTGCCCTGGAATCTTGGTGTAACCTAGAAGTCACAAAACCAACTAGAGAGGAAGTCATTAAGTAGTTCTTGAATGCACCGAAAGTTCTGTAAATCTTTGTATTATATTATATCAATTTATGATATTTTTTGCTGCAGTATACCACACATTTCCAGTTCTTTGATTAACATGACCCTTGTTATGCTCTTAGCAACCACTAGGCAAAAATAACCTTATTTCCAACATTATGTAAGAAAATCATGAATAGTGTTGTTATAATAAATACCTTGTACTGGCAAAATCTTGTTAAACCACTCCCCAAATTGCTCAGTCTTTTCATAGTTGTATAAAATGTTTCCTCTTGTGCATGGTAAACGTTTTTCAACTGCCATTAGTCAACAATTTTATGGCACATATTTCAGCCTTGACCAACAAAGCACCTTCCATGAATAAATTCAACCTCTTTGGATGAAAAGATTAACCCCAATTCCTAAATATCTAAATGCAGGTACAGTACATGTATTTCCTTATTTATTACAGGGTTACATTCCTGAAAAACTTTTCATGAATTAATTTTTCATAAATCAAAGTTAATGGTCCAAACTCTTGGGATTAGGTAGATACTCTCCCACGAGACACTCAGGGTCTGGCCTGTTATTCACCTCACCACTCGAGAGATACAACAGTTTTATTTGAGTAATCATGATAAAATAATTATTTCTAAATGTAAGCGCGAGTAAAACATTTTTTTTTACGTTTAATGAAAATGTTTATATAGTACGTACAGGCATCCCTCATGTTATGGAAGGGTTCCATTATTGAAAATATTTCCCTAACATGAAATTCAGGTAACGTGAAAGCAATATTCCCATTGACTCACATTATATAACTGGAGATGCGTTCCTACGGATATTTTGGGGCTAAAAACATAGTACCGTACAAGCATATGCATAAGAAGAAAAAAGTTTTAACGACATACAATGATTCATTCATGATGTAACATGATAATAAATGCACAAGACTCTTAAATTTAACTCACCAGAAACGATATTGAATACTGCATGAGGCAGTGAAGTGTACTGGGAATTACCTCCTTAAAACATCAAGTTTAATGTCCAAGGGTGAAATTTTATGTTCTATATCGTAATTTTTATGTTTGAAAAACTTTAAAAAATTACCTTAATTCCGTAAGGATAAATAAAGTTCTGACGACGCAAAACTGAACACAAGCTGGGAAATGAATTCAAACTGAGCAACACCATTGTTACTGTTGTTGTGGGTCCTCAACCATCTTATAGAAACCACCCAGAATCCACACGATATAAATTTTAAAATTTTGATGATTTTTTTTTATCGCGATTAATAAAGCACGGAGTAGACTTGAGGGTAGACTCAACATTTTTAATATTACATTTGTTTCTGATTATTTGTGAGATGATTTTCCCATCATTATATACAATACAGGTAAAGGAAATTACTCTCTCTAGAACAAATAGCTCCCTGTCCCAGCCAAGAAAATGCCGGGAACTTTAAAACTACCCGCAGACATTCTTGGGTACAACCAGGGTGTCAACTGCGAATATGAGAGGACCACAAAATAAAAATCCACATATTATCCAAGCGTACTGTACAGTATATCAAGGGTAGATAGGAGTTTTTGGAGGGTGGCCAGTTCCTAACCCCCTGAATTTGTTATGTTCTTATGGAATTAATTGCTTTGATAACCATTGATTCACTAAACAACAACTTTTCTCAGTCCCCATATGCGTTGGTTATCGGGGTATGCCTGTACACTATTGATTAAATAAATTGCAGATTCCGTACATCATACACATACACGAACAGAAAAAGAGTACAGTACGTACTGTACTGTATGTATGGCATTTATTAACGGATTTTAAAACATGGTTTATTTTTAATTAAATCAATATTTCAAGATATTGAAATTTATCATGAAAAAATAAGAACAGGCATGATAGTCAAAATTGGGAAAATTCAAGTAAAACTAATACTGTACTACTAGTTGGCAAGTATGATACCAAATCCTCCATAAATAAGGAAAGGAAGCTTTAAAATATTTTATACAGTAAATTTGCTCCCCAACAAAACTTCCAACTCATAACCAACTTCTAGTTTTCCTGAGACCATAAGCCAGCTCACATCAGGATTTACATTGCAAGTGAAAAAAGGGGATTGAAATGAGGCTAGAAGCTAACCACCCCAGATACAGAAAGATTACTAAACAATGTCAACAGTGTAAAAATGATAACCATAAGAACATCTGTGTAAATCTTATTTCAGCTGATAACTCCAATCATTATCATTTATGGAAATAATTCCAAATGTATCAAAATAGGGGCAGGGCATTTAATTTCTTTCTAGTAGTGTAACAGACTTCTAAATACTGTACTGTACTGTACAGGATATTTCCCTTTGTCTGGTACAGTACACTTGTTAATCTAGTATTTGTTAAGGTTCAATCATGGTATGAACTCTCTGAGGTGTCCAAGTACAAATTAGGCAAATACTGTATAATGTTGACTAACTAAAAAATCAAACAAAATAATAAATAAAAAAATAAGGAAATATTACTGTACAAGCATACAACTGTTCCAACTTTCCCTGTAATGTGGTTACGGTACACTAAGAAAACACAATGACTTCAACCCAACACCTATCACCTACTCTCACTGTACCTGTACTGCACTGGAAATTGAATCCACATATATTGATTTTACTTGTTTTTTTTTGTTTTTGTTTTTTTTTGGTGTGGTACAGAATTACAATTTTGCTTATCCTATAAATAATTAACTTTCCAAAAAGAGAAGAGTACTGTACTAATGGTCAGCTGAAATGATCAAAAGTATACATTTAATCCTG